CCTCCATCCCTGGGAGCTCAGTCCTTGAGGACAGGCTGTGACAAACCTTTCCATGGGGGCATCCAGGGAAGGGAGAGGAGACAGGCGGAAAAAACCACCCTCCCTGCACTCCTGTCAAGGCGGCTCGACTCCACGCTGCCGCCCAAAGGAGAACTGACACTACATGGGGGTGTATTCAAAACCCCTCCTCTTATGGGCAAGTCTAAGCGGACCCCTTGCCAGAAACCTATTTATCAGGCCAATTTAAAAAAATGAGATGCAAAGGTGCTTTTCCAGGATATCGGCTAGTCCTTGTTCCTTCCCCGACTGCAAAAAGAAGCTATTTATTGGCTGAGACCACAAGCACTGAAAACCTGAGCTTATCCCGGGACAGGAGAAAGGAAGAGGAGACACTGGCATGGAGCTACTGGCCTCTGCCAGCTGAACATCTCTCATCACCCTCTCCTCTAGATACATGGCCTCGTTCCCTTTCTCAGACCCCTCGCCTCCACCTTCCTCCTCCCACTCTCAGCTCCGACTCGTTTTCCAGTTCTCCCGGCATTAATTCACTGACATCGTAACAAATTAAGTCTTTCAAGGTCCCAAGGCTGCAAACGTAATTCTTTGGAGGAAGATCTGTAGTTTTGAACTTGTGCCGTAGTAAGCGTAGGGGGGCAAAGCCTCCGATCTCACGCTCCGACAAGCCTCAGCCTGCACAAGAAGGGTTTGCTTTTCCACAGACAGTTTAAACATTGCAAACCCTAGACCTGTCATTCACCCCAGTGCTGGCAGAGGTCTCTCATCGGACAGTCTTATCACAAATTTGTATAGGCAAATCCATCCAGAATCAGCCTGGCCGAACAGAGATGTGTTACCAGGTAGATGCCGAGCTAATCACAGATGAAAATAACTGGGCACATTTTTGTCCATGCCCTGGAAAAAATAAGCAGCCCTAATTATGCAGCTGCCTCTAACTCAGAGCCACAAACGCAAGATGCTTCTACCACTTCATCCGTGCACAATCTCCCATCCCACTCAGACCTGCCTTGTATTCCCTAAAGAAAAGCTTCATTGATTGCTTTAAAAAAGTTGTTCTGAAAAGGATGCATCCAAGATCCAGATGCACCAGGGAGACTGCCACATAAACTGGCTGGTTTCCCAGCTGCTTAGCTAACCGTGTAATCTTAGCTGAGCCATTAAACTCCTCTCTGCCTCAGTTTCCATATCTACACAATGCAAAGGCTAAGATCATTCATTTGTCAAGTGCTTTGGGGTCCTCAGATGGAAGGCGCTAAATAGATTTGCTAGATTTATACTGAAATTTGCTGAAGGAATTATACTGTGCGTTGGTCAGCACCCGGGCTTGCACGCTCTAGGATACTGAGCATACAAGCTCTAGCTCACTGATGCAAAAGCAGTGGAAGTGATCACCACTGAAACTGCAGAAAGAAATTACAAACTTTAACCTCACAGATAATCAAGGCTGGCTAACTTGCACACAGCCCCAAAGATTCAACAGAACTACTGCGAAAGTACGACGAGCAAGCTCAAAAACGCACGCTACATCGCTTCAACCTATGGCCTAACTTTTGAAGGAGACTGAAAAACCTGAGGTCCCAAATGGAGCTTTTGTAAGTCAAATGTGTTGGCAATGTCTAAATATGGCTTGAGATAATAATAATAATAATGATAATAATAATAATAATAGTTATTGTTGTTATTACTATTATTAGGAATGACAGTTATTATTATTAACTTTGACAAATTCAGGCTGGGGTGCACTGGCGGCCTTCAGGGTGTTGGGGCCCTGGGCAAGAGAGTCAGTTGGGGCTCCCTAGAGACTTAATTTTAATGACCTATAAGCACAGTGGACATCTGTTGCAAAATTTTGGGGCCCCCCTAAAGTGTGGGGCCCCAGGTGGTTGCTCGGTTCGCCCTTCCTTAAGGCCGCTACTGGTGCTGGAGTAAAAGAAAGGAAATTTTGGCCAGCAGTTTTTAAATGTGTGTCACCGTTCTCTGGTAGTGTTGTCAACATGAACGAGGCCTCGAGACTGAAGACAGGAACCAACAACTGAAACTGATTAGAAGCTACGGTGAAAATTACCGGCCTAGTTTTACTGCCCAGCAGAGGGATGACAAAGAACAGCCTAAATTCACTTCCATACATGTGATGATCTGAAGGCCAGAAGAGAACTTGATCCTCTGGTCTGTATCCTGTATAACACTGGCCACAAAATTTCACCCAGAGATTTTTATATTACCTTTTGCTTTTTTATCTCCCCTGGATTTTCTTTCCCAATTGAACAACAACAAAAAAATACTACAGTAACAGGTGAGACTGAGTTTAAATACACAGAGCTCCTAATGCACACAATTGTAGCGTGCGCTTTGTGATATTCACTGTGTTTCTTTAACACCCAGCCGCTGAGTCAAGTGATTATTTGAGAACCTCAGCTTTCTTTTTTATTTTTAAAAAAAAAGTGTCAAGCCTCTTGGTTGCAGAGAACAACTTAGAAATGTGATCTGACTGCACCTGAAAGGTTTGAACACTGAAAGATTTATATGCAAAGTCTCAGATGCATGATATTTTGTACAGCCCTCATGATTGTTAGGTCAGTCTCGTGATCTGGACTACTAAATATGATTTTTAGCTTGCCGATGTTCTTTTAATAGACTGTTGCAACATGAACCTTAACTACTTGAGTTAATTCGATCTTATGAATGTCTTCAATAGTCTTGAAATGCTTTCCTTACATCTTATGGCCCCAATCCTGCAAGTACTTAGGTGCATACGTCATCTGCTGCAGGTGAACAATCCCCATTTGCTTTTCTCTCTTGCATAAAATTAAGTACATGCTTAAGTGTTTACAAAATGGGGGAAGAGGGGAGCCCCAAGCTCACACAAAGGCCCCTGTACTCAAAGGAAAAATGAAAAGAAACCAAGAACAGTCAACAAAAAGGGATATTCTCTACTCACCGAGACTGTGGTAATCCTTTTTTACTGAGATCTGCCCTGACACGTTCGCCTACGTGTCTGTAAATTTCCACAAGGCTGTTTATTGCTGCATCTCGAACCTAAATATTAAGGAAAACACTTGATCAAAATTGATCCTCTTTTGAATTTGTAATACCACTTCCTAAGCAAGGCAAGAAAAAGCAACAGCAGTTACTACAGCAACATTTATGGAGTATTTGCCCCCTCCATCCACAGATCTGAAAGCGAGGTAGGTATCATTAGGCCCAACATTACTGATGATGGGACACCGGAAAATGAAGCGTTTCCCCAGAGATAAAGTGAGTCAGCGGGAGAGCTGTGAAACCAGCCTAAGCCGCCATCCTTCAGTCACGTGGCAGGGCTAGGTCAGGCTTGCAAAAGTCCCACTCACCCCCTCCTCTACAATAGCCAAACTTTTGGAAAGCAAATAGGCCTCTGGATACTTTTCTCACCGCTGCAGTAAGGATGGGAGAACAGCCTCCGAACCTGTGCTAACAGATTCATACCCCGAGTTATCTGCCTTGTCGTTCAGTCTATGTGCACGGACAGGCAGAAGTAATTTTGATATCCGTTACATAAAAAGTCTTGGCGTGTCAGTAAGTGAAGCGTCTGCCTCTCTCTCCTTCCACCCCGTGGGCCAGCTGAGAGACGAAAGAGATCTTCTTGTAGAAAATAAAATGCCACAAAACCACTACCGCAACCAGGTTCCCTCCTGATCCGAGATGCATTTTACCCAGCAAGGACAAAGAAGTCCCATTACACAGTCCTATACCTACACTGGGAAAGGGAAGAAAGTGCCTTGCCATCTTTAGTACATGGCAGGTACGTCTACCACGCTAACAGGGTAGCAGACTGACTTTATCAACCTCATGGACTGCTGTATGCTGTAGGCTTGGATCTTTAATACAAGATTGCTGGACACCAGAGCAACAAGCACTTTATGAAGTCTACAGGAAAGTGAGTCTGTGCAAAGCCAGGGGAAAGAGCTGCTTTCCTGGCTGAATGTGAAGTAAGACCTTTGAATGTATATAAAAATTTAAAAAAATTTAATTACTCTGCAGCAGTCAGGGTGCGATCAACCTGCTCTCCCCATGCTCATCGTCCCCGTCACCAAGGCCCGTGAGTTAGCGCTCATTGCTGGCATCACCTTACCTCCATGGCCACCTCCACCCCACCAAGAGATATGGAGGCCTCTGGCAACGTGGGGGCCAAAGCAGGGCCACCACAGCCAACGTGGACACACATATGGATGACCCAGAAGCTCCCCAGAGATACGTACAGATACCAGCACGTCTGTCGCACGGTATCTAGTAGGGATGAAGCCAAATCCCCTTTGAACTTGAGGCCAGGGTGGGGAGAAAAGCAACACTGTCTCCCCTTCCCAATGCAGATTTACCAAAGTTTCGGGCTGGGAGGGACCTTGTGAGATCATTGGATCCGGGCAGGAAAGATTGCAGGGGTCCAATAACCCCAGCGAGGTGTGCGTCGTCTCCTTTTGAAGGTCTCCAGGGTAGGTGCCTGCACCACCACCCGCTGGGCGTCTATTCCAGGGTCTGGCCACACGAGCCACGAAGATGTTTTTCCTTATATCCAGTCTGAAACCTTCTTCTGGGAGTTTATGACCATTGCTCCTGGTTTTCCCCTGGGGCGCATTGGTGAATAGTCATTTGCCTTGCTCCTGATGCTCTCCCCTGATACAGATGCCACCAGATCCCGCCCCCCCCCACAAAGTCTTCTCTTTTCTAGGCTGAACAGTGCCACATCTGTCGGCCTTTCTTCGTACAAGGCAATAATGTCTTTATTATACTCTTTTAAACGTATAACCCGGCCTCCTACTAGGGGTCCCCAAGCTCCGGCCCTCTTGCCGCAGCACCGTTTCCCTTGCTGCCGTCTGCTTCAGCATTTGCCCTCTCTCTGTCTCACTCCAACTCCCCTCCCCGCCCGCAGCCCCACGAGCCCTCCCCATGGCGCGGGGAAGCACCATGTTGTGACACCGCTTCAGAGGACCGAGGCGGGGGGAGAAAGGCCAGGCCAACTACAGTTGCTACCGGTTTTTCCTTTTCCCACCAGTGCCGGGAAGAGGAAGAAGAGGAGTCTCTGCACATGGGGAAATCTATTCCTGCCGGGGGCATTTCTCTGCGCTCCTCTTACTTGCTCTGCTGTCTTCCTGCCCCCTCAACTGCCGCCGCGGCTCCAGAAGCAACCACCCCGGTGCCAGGTTCTGGAACCGAGGCCGAACGCGGGCTCCAGCCGGTCCGACGGCGCGGGGTTGGCACAGCGGAAACGCTCGAGGCACGCCAGTCTGCTCCAGGCCACGCGGTCCAAAGCCACTGCTCCATCAGTCGGCGAGAAGCTGACGACATCCGCGTCACGCTTGGCTCCTGGCCCAGTGGAGAGGGCACTCCTTCGGGCGCCCTCATCTTTTAATCCTCGAAGATATACCGGGTGAAATGCTAGGCGGGAGTCTCGTGCGCTTGGCACAGCCAAGAGCAGGCTCTCGTTTCGCCGTGCCCAGCACCCTGACTCTCACAGCAGCGTGGGTATGGCCTCCGGAGACGTCCCCTTGCTACGCTGTAGATGTCAACCTTCGAAGGAACAGGGAAAGGACGCAGCCCGCTACCAAGAACAGAGAATCATAGAAAATAGGGTTTTCGGGGCTCTCAAGAGCTCATCTAGTCCAGTGGTTTTCAACCTTTTTTCATTTGCAGACCCCTTTGGAAACTTCAAGCGGCGCTGCGTGGGGTATGAATGGTAAGTGTGGGTATTCGCATACCTTTGATTGATCCTGGTCATCTCCTGCAGACCCCTTAGACATAGCCTGTGGACCCCCCGGGGTCTGCGGGCTATGGGTTGAAACCCATTCCCTGAACCAAACAGGATCGACGAGGCCTGAACCATCCCGACATCGATGGCTACATTCGGTAGAGTCTCCAAGTTAAGTGCCCGTTCAGGATGGAGAGGCCAACCTCTCTCCACACTACATCGGGGTGCTCAACCTCCAGCCCACAGGCCAGATCTGGCCCATGGCACCATGTTAACTGGCCCAAAGGGCTCCCCAGGGGTCCAGAAATTTGGCAATGAGGGAGAGGTGCACCTCTCCCCTGCTACCACATCTCTGGACCCATGCGAAGCTCCAGGCCCCATGCACTGCTCCCAGCATGGAGGGCAGGGTAGGGCTGGGCGGGGTGGATAGTGCAGGGCCCAATCCTGGTGTGGAGCCCTTGAAGGGGGCACTGCCAAGCCCCCAGGACCCAATCCGAGCACACGGGGGGTGGTATCGGCCCCCCAGGACCCAATGCCGGTATGCAGGCAGCAGTGCTGGATCCCATACCACTGGACCAAAGGTTTGAGCATCACTGCTCTACACGGAGGGGTGGGAGGCAGCACTGTGTCCAGATGAGGAAACCCCACGTGCAGAGTATACACTCTGCTGGCCAACAGGCGGTTATTTCAGTCCTGGAGTTGGAGGAGCTGCAGTAACTGCTGAAGAATGGGTCACGCGAAGCAAAAGCAGTCCCCAAAGATGATTAAAAATTAATGCCCTCTCTGAACCGTCTTTAATGGACCACCTTTTTCAATATGTGCTGTAACTAGGAAGTGGAAACAAGGGAGATCAGGGGCTCCTGTACAATGGTGATTCAAAGGAATAGCATTATACATCCCAGTCCACCTCCATGGAGACGACAGAGACCTGCTAGCTGCTTGCCTAAGACAAGCTGCCAAAGAAACAAAACCATAACATGAGTCACCATGATCACTCCAGACGAATCATAATGCAAGTATATCATGCTGCCCAACATTACAGAGCCTGGTCTCACTAGGCTCATAATAATAATAATAAAAAGTCAGTCTTTTCTTTGAGCCCAGGTACATTTATATGATGAAAGGTGGGAGCTGAAAGAGCAGGAGGATTCAAAACAAGAAATCCTCACTAGTTCCACCTTCCTGGCACCGGGGAGGGAGTTGGTCCAGCCACATGGGAGGGAGGGACATGCAGACATCGCGTCCCCTTCCCCAGCGGAGGATACCACGTTCCCTCCTGGTCCTCACCAGGGCTGGGGATGTGACCATGCCAGAGCAGGTGCCTGATGTAGAAAGTTTCCTACCTGGGGAAGGAGAGGGAAGCTGGGGATGAGAGGACTGAAGCTGGCATAGACTGAAAGAAGAGGTAAAACTCCTGACACTTCCTCTAAAGTCACCAGGAGACATCTCCGATTTCTCAGAAAGGCACCGTGTAAAACCCACCATCTACAACGTACCATCTACACCCCGCCACCACTCGATGAACCCTCTCAATCAAGTTCAACGGGACCACGTGTACCTCAGGTTGCTCAGATGCACCGTTCCAGGATCGGGGCCATGCAGACAGGCTGGGTCGCCCCATTCACAAGCGCTGCAGTAACGCTGCCATGATTATAAAAATACTTCTAAATTCCTTAGTTTAAAATTATCTAAGACCAGTGCCAACGCACATTGCTCATGCTCACAGCGAATCTTCACGGGGGAGAAAGGGAAATCTCCACGAAACACTGAAAACTGCATTGGTTTTAAGAAAACCATCTATTTAGAGGAGGGGGGGGAAAAATTAACAAAGTGGCTTCCTTCCTAGGCAAGGACGAAAGGCTCAAGCACTGCACATGACAGAGCATTTCCCTGCTGCTGCTCTCTCCCATGCAGCCAAGAGAGGGCAATGTTGATCCAGGCTCTCCCAAGGCAGCTGCTTAAAAAGAAAGCTTGGGCAGAAGGAAATGAGCAGTCAGAGATAGAGACATTTTATCAGATTGCAAGGGCCGTTCTCCCTGGGAAAGGAAGTATGTTGCATTAAGCTGACCGTGCATTAAGCTCTTAGCTAAACGGGCTGGCATTTTACAATGCAAAGAGGGTTGTTTTTCTAAAAAAAAAAAAAAAAAAAAGCAGCCTAGCTGGTTTCTCTGAATTTAGGGCAGGGAGGGGGTGAGGGTGGGGACAGAGATGGGGATGTGGAAGGCCGGCCAAGCACAGGGCATGGCTGGGCTGGCACCTCCTGTCCGCAAGTGCCCCCCCAGCGAATGAGCGTCGGAGATTCCCAGGAGAAATCAGG